CCAACAGTCCCAGGAACTGCAGAGTCTGTCCTGGCTGACCTTCTTCATTGTTTCTTTTACGTGACTAAGAAATAAATGTTTATCTTATTCAAGCCATTTATTGACAAACCTAGAGTCACCCAGGGAAGAGGGACCCTCAAGTGAAACATTGTATTCATCATATTGGCTGGTGGGCATGCTTTGGAGGGATTATATTAATTGATGATCAATGTAGGTGCCACTGTGGGTGGCACCATTCCCTAAGCATGTGGATTCCCAGGCTGTATAAGAAAGCTAGCTGAACATGAGCCAGAGAATGAACCAACAAGCATCTTCCTCCATGGTTTGGTTTCTGTTTCAGGTTCCTGATTGAGGTCCTGCCCTGGCTTCCCTCAGTGATGAACTGTGACCTGAGAAGTGTGAGCCTAATAAATCTTTTCTTCCCCAAGTTGCTTTTGGTCATGGTGCTTATCACAGAAAACGAGGACATTAATTTTAACAAATACATTTTGATATGTGTCTGTCAGGCCCCACTTTACGTAGCTTCATGAATTCAGACACAGCTGTCCACAGCTAAAATACAAATTAAATATCAGTTACCCTTTTTTGCAGCTCATTCTGTTACCTAAAATATATTTGTTTTAAAATGAAACACATTACCTACAAGTAAGTGGAAAATCAGTATTGCATGAAATAAATAGAGGATTATTATGAGCAAGATTGATTTCTTGTGATGCATGCCTGCCTGTCTACAAGAGGTTGTCAAGAAACCAAGGCTTTGAAGACACACGGTCTCCAATGACAAGACAGTTAGCCGAGCATGAGCCAGAGAATAAGCCAATATTTCTCACCCCTCACCCCGCCTCCCTCCCTTCCTCCCTTCCTCCCTCCGTTCCTCCGTCTCTGTCTCTCTGTCTCTGTCTGTCTCTCTGTCTGTCTCTGTCTGTCTCTGTCTGTCTCTGCCTCTCTCTGTCTCTCTCTGTCTCTCTGTCTCTCTGTCTCTCTCTCTCTCTCATCTGTCTCTCTCAAGGAGGCAAACACTTCTCCAGGCTGCAGCCATGCTAGAGAACTCAGAAGTACACTGGCTGGTAGCATTCAAGCTTATTCAAACTTAAGTCTGTGTGCCAAGAACATCATTTGCAGATTTGCCATGGGAACCTCTGGGAAACCCCCAACCCTGGGAGAATTTTACACATCAGGCTTTGTACATATTTATCTAAGTCGGTGCCATGGACAGGGAGACTCTGAAAACTCAGAATGGGATCTGGTGGCAGAGAGGAATTAACTATTCTGCTGTGGTTTCAGGATCCGTGAAGGCAAATCACAGTAGATCTGATGGCCAAGATAACAGCATTAAGATGAGACTCTCAGCAAACAAACTTCTTCAAACAAGGAATATGAACTCGAAGCCGATAAGAGATCTTCACTAACTCCCGCTGAGTTCATCGCTGATATAAAAGTGGCTCCTTACCATGAAATTGCACCTGTCACAGCGACTTCACTTCATTAAGGCAGCTTCCTGATCCGAGCAAGATTATCAGCAACACATAATCTATGACTCTCCAGCTAATGAAGACTGCCTCTCCTGAGTTTCCAACAGCTGAGCTCCGAGGTCTAAGACAACCGAGAAACGGCCAGAGACAAGGAAGGATTTATGAAACAAAACAGCCCCTCAAGCCAAACCTACCAACATTATCAAAGCGTCAACTCAATGAAACATTTTCCAATTAACCTCAAGAAAAAAAAGCCCCTCACCTCACTTCCCCAGCACAGAAAATAATGGACTAAGGTTTCCCTTGATTCCACTCTGTGAAGACAGAAGTATAACATGAATGGTTTTGAAGGGAGTCGGGGATAACTACTGAAGATGCTAATAAATGTGTGGTACCTAATAAAAATATCTATGTTCATTATGTACATTTTGCTAGTTAGGAAGAAGACACAGAGTCGGGGGGGGGGTGTCTTCAGACCAAATGGTTCACTGTAGAAACTAATTTATATCCAGCTTTTCCCAGCTCCCCAGCTCTGCCTTCAGATAAATATCCTTCCATGTATTTTCTCGAGGGGACTTCTTTGAACTTATAAACGAGAGCCCACTCTATAAGTATGCATTTAGGCTTGCATTCTAATGCATGTGTTAGCAGAGACAGTCTCATATCAGACTTCATTAGAATATATCAAACATCCTTCCGCATCTCAAGCACTGCTCAGAGGCTGGGTACACAGCCACGAGTAAGACATGATTCTGCTAACAAAGCCTAGGATTCTTCATGAAGTTGAGTCTGCAGACCTAGTGCTCTCTCTCTCTCTCTCTCTCTCTCTCTCTCTCTCTCTCTCTCTGTGTGTGTGTGTGTGTGTGTGTGTCCCATAGAAGGTGCACATTATCCAGCTGCACGTGCATATCTCCAGCATGTTATAGACACATGTTTAATACACTGTGCCCTCACACTTATATAAGGCACTTCATACATGGGCTCACACATGCTTACATTTCCATTATTTATCCACATAAATACGAACCAAGCATTAAACAAGAAAAGTTCTCCAAATGGGTGGCATCATGACTATATCCTTTTGGTGGGAAACACCTGGGTAGTCTATCCAGTGTCTTGTTTCTTAAAGGAGACAGTGACAGAGGCACAGGACAAGAGCTGACTACCCCACACAATTAGAATGCTTAGAGATGGCCTGGTCTGGAAGGCCCAGGTTCTGGGAGCCAGAGCTGGGCAGCTTGTACGTTGAGGTGAGGGAACACTCTCAGCATGCTCTGCTCTTCCTTTCTGTGCCCAAGATGGCCTCAGCCAATTTTAATGAGAAAATAAGAAGTAAAAAGACTGAAAAAATAACTTATGATGGTTCAAATCTGTTGTATCCATGGATAAAATCACTGCTACTATCAATGAGTCAGGTAGACGGCAAACAATGGCATAAGGGAAAATGGAAGGACATTAGCTGGGACCCTTCACGCCACTTGTTTCTCCTCTTGTGATAGAGAAGAAAAGCATTTATCTAGTAAAACATCTAGCTACCCATTCATCCATCATGCATCAATCCATTCATGGTTTCACTCATTTATCCACTCATCTACTTGTATATATCTATCTATCTACCTATCTATCTATCATCTGTCATCCTTTCAGTCATCCATTTATCCATCAATCTATCATCACCTACAGAAATATCTTCCCAGCCAAGTAAATTCATCCACCATCCATCCATCCATCCATATATCCATCCATCCACCCTTCATCCTTTCATCCATCTTCTATATATATTTAGGTGAATTTGCTTTTCTTGTGGTTGTATCCAAATACCCCATAAGAAGCACCTTAAGGGAGGAAGGATTTCTTTTGACTCATAACTTACGTAGGGAAACAGTCTATCACAGTAGAAAAGGCAAGAGTGTGAGGTGGGCTAGGCATAGTGGTTCATTCCCTTAATCCCAGAACTTGGGAGGCAGAGGGAGGCAGATCTTTGAGTCTGAATTCAACCTAGTCTACAGAGTATGTTCCAGGACAGCCAGGGCTACACAGAGAAACACTGTCTTGAAAAAACAAACAAACAAACAAACAAGAGTCTGAGGTGGGCAGTCACACTGCATCTGCAACCAAGAAGCAGAGAATGGACAGGAAACAGAGTCTCAAGGCCCACCCCTAGTGATCTACATCCTCCAGAAATTCCCACCACCTCCCAAACAGACTATCAGCTGAAGATTCACTTTTCAAGCAAGTGAGTGAGCACCTATGGGGGACATTTCACATTCAAAACACAACGCTATCTATCCATTCATTCATCTGTCAACCCACACTGCCATATCCACCAATCACTCTGCCCACAACTATCCATTTTTACATGCATCTGTCTATAAACATGATGTCTGTTGGCTGCATGACATGAAGTCACTTTTTGTGAGAATGGTGCTCATTTTGCAAACTGGATCTTTCTCATGTGCACACTGGGACAAGGTCATATGTAAGACCAACAAGTCCCTTTGTGTAATCCACTCCTACCACTGTGCGGAGCTTAAACACCAACTTCATCTTTTCTTCTCAGTTTTTTTCCAGTAACCCAGATTCCCCCAATTAAATCAGGTAAAGGAACACAGGGGCGACTGAAGTCAAACTATCCCTGAATTGGTTTCAAGTGCTTTTGATTATGAACGGGGAGGGGGGGAATATGACAAAACAGTAATAGCCACAAAGCAAGATTCTTCACCTCTATATCATGGGAAATAAATGTATTTTTCCAAACACCAAGGTTTGAAATTTAAAACTGCACTCCAGGAACAATGTGTTACCTGCCTAGACTAATCCTTTGAATTTTTTTGCTCAATTTTTCAGTAATACGAAGGTCCAGAAGAAACCTAAAAGTGACAATGAAAATGTATGTGACCAAACTAGGAATTCTCCGAAACCACAAATGATGTTCCGGGAGAGAGGAATAAATCAAGAACTCCTAAGTCGCCAAGCCGTTCTTTGCCCAGCTGTGAATTGCCTGTTTCTAATTTGGTAGCTATCAGAGGCAGATCCGGGTTTTAATTTCTCCCTAGAGTGATTCACGATTGCCTGTAATTCCACAGCAGGTGGCTCACTGTCCCATCAGAAAGTGCCCCTGCACAAATACAACCACATGCATTACATTGACATCAGCACCGGAAAGGTGGGCTGCATGCACCCTGCCTGTAAAAATGTGAAAGCTCCACGTTTAACACATGTGGAAATAAGTTGTAAGAGATACCCCACAATTCTGACACCTCCGATATGGATGAGAAAGAAGTGAACTTCAATTACTGTTAGATGCCCCTGAATGGAAAGCTCCTTGTACACGATACACAGGTCCACTATAAACAAGACCCCCCACTGCCCCCATCTGGAAGACTCCACCTATTTTACCCAGAGATGTTAACTACAGATCGCACACACTGAATACAAATCGCAATGGAGTCAGCTAGCAAACTTTGGAGCAATGAGAAGTCACCATGGCAGAGAATTCAAGCATAGCACTAGCCAGGTGGGACTTACCTCTTCTCTGAGCCAGCAGATTTCTTCTGACAAATGATGACAGCTGGTGCATACTTCCCAGTGTATTCTGAGCTCTGCTTGACATCCCAGATGGAAGGGCTGCTGGCTCTCACCCCAATGATGCTCACTCCTTTCTTAACCTTGGCCCTGTTGGAGACAGGAAGTGCATGTTTGAGACAGCCCTGGGGAAGTCTGCAGGCCCAGGTCAGCTTTGGTACCAGGGGCATGGTGAGCATTTGCACATGGTAGTCTTTTTTTATTATTTTAATTTTAAATAGCTTGTTTTACATGTCAATCCCAGTTCCCTCTCCCTCCCCTCCTCTCACCCCCATCCCCCCCATCCTCCCACCCTATTGCCAATTCCTTCTGCATAGGGGATATCTAGAGTCTATCATTTCACTCAGGGTAGGGTCCAGGCACTTCCCTAAGAGTCCAGGCAGAGAAAGCAACCCTCTTTGTGTTATGGACACACGATGTCTGTTAGTATTCGAGGGATAAACACTGATCCACTGCTCAGAACCTTGCACATGGTAGTCTTGCAGGTATGAGCTCATGTGGAATTAAATTTAAATACAAATTTTTAACCACCTTCCTATCCATCTGTCCTAGTCCCTCCACCCCATCCCTCTGTTATCCCTACTTTTACAGAAGGAGCTAGTAAAATGTGGTGGCCTTCAGCAAACATCTGTTATATATGGAAATGGAATGTCTCTATTAATTAAAAGACAACACACAAAACAACAACAACAACAATAAAAACCTACCTGAAATCCCTTATAGTAAGAAAACTAAATGGGAAACTAAAGTAAGCCAAAAATACAGAGGTAACATTCCTAAGGGAGCACCTGTGGGTGGCAGAGGCTGGTCCTGAGCAGCCAACCATATGGACACCAAGCACAACACCTGATTTCCCCAGAAGTGTCCAAGTTCCACACAGGAGCACTAAGGCTCAGATAGGTGAGGAAATGTTCATGGTCCCTGCACATAGAGGTGCTGGACTGCACAGGGCTAGCCAACTTCTCTGTTTCTGTTCCTTCCTGACATTCTTATCATCTCTGTCACCATAACCACATCCTGTATCATCATCATCATCATAGATGCAACCTCCATCACCATCATCACCACTAGAACCTCCATCGTCATCATCACCACCACAACCTCCATCACCATCATCACCACCACCACCACCATCACCATCACCTCCATTGATATTACTACCACAATCCCCATCATCTTTTCCTTTTCCTCATCACTACAACCTTGTCATCACGACAAACTTCCCTTCATCATCACTACCATCTACTTAATCATAATCATCGTCATTACAATCCTAATCTTTATCACTATCACAACCTCTATCTTCATCATCATCATCACCACAATTCGCATCTTCTCCTTCATTGTCACCTCCACAAACCCCTCTTCAGCATCATCAACAACACTACAAATATCTTCACTATCAACACAAATCCTATGTTCATCGTCATCACTACATGCATCTTTATCACCACCACAACTGCTATCTCTTTCATCATCACCACCATCTTCATCATCATCATCCTCTGTACTATGGATAACTTACCATCAACTACATGCTATTGTAAATGTACAACTATTCATTATAGTTCTATAACATTTCACCCTCAAATACCCTGCTAGGTCAGTTGCCCTGGGAAATCTCTGATTCATGCCTCCAGAGTAGAGGAACAGGCCTGGAGCTGCAGGTAGGACTCTAGGCTCTCTCTGTATCACTGTGAACCCCTGCTATCAGAGCTGATAAAACTGAATGTATTCATTTTCTCTGCTACTCACTCAGTGTTGGTTGGCTTGTGCCGTGCTCCCCAGTATCTACTCATGATTTAGCCAAAGACACATTAACCAAGGCACTTCACCTTCCAACTGAGACTCCATTTATCATCTCTCCCTCCCTTTTCCCTTCCTCCATCCTGGAAGGGGGACACACGGTCCCAGGGGCTTTTCTGCAAAGCGCAAATACCCCTGCCCTTGCACAGAAGTTGGATGACGGAGGCCCTCTTTGCATGCATGCCCTTGTTTCTTTCTAAGAAATTTCAAAAGAAAAAGCCTACATGAGACGGGGAAAGGCAAAAGGACAACACAGTAATTTTCACAGTTTGATTTACAAACTGCCTTGTAGATTTGAAGAAAGTGTGCATCCTACTGTGCCTTCCCTTTCCTATTCCTTGGGGAGAATATAAAGGGCTTAGAAGCTAAAGTACCAAGGGATACTTGGAGGCTTTGATTCTCCAGGGAGAAGATGGAGGTACTAGCAGCAGTCAGTGTCACATGCTCTTACTTACACCCACATGATCAGAAGAGGAGCCCCCAGGTCCTGTCTGCACCTCTAAAATCTTCAAGGAATGGGCCACAGAAGAAAACTGAGACATGCCTGTCCCTAACTTCCACTGGGGACAATTCTATACACACTCCACAGGAGAGGACATGAGGTGGCGATGCTCCTGGAAGGCCATCAGCAAGACTGGCAGTGGCACTGGGAATAGGATCCTTGGAGAGCCCTTAGCTGAGAACGGTGGGACTCCCGGGTTTACACTATGCAGAGAGCATGATCGCATGCAGTGCCTGGCCGCCTAGAAGGGGCCAGGAATGTTGGCAACCTGCCAGACAGAGGGCACCATGTGACTGGTCCCCAGTAGAGCCATGCACTTCCAGGCTGAGGAGGTTCGAAATTGCAGACAACATTACACAGTCATGTGTTTGGGGGAGCCGAGTCATGCTGCGTGGCTTCACAAGATGAGGGTTCTGGGAGCTGAGCCTGGCTTCCTCTGGATATGGCCCATGTCCTTTTACCCTCTGTTTACTGTAGTTCATGTGCTTCTTGAGACATAAGGCTAGCTGGCTAGGCAGAACTTCCCAGAATCCCCATCCTGTGAAGCCACACAGCATGACTCAGCTCCCCCAAAAGCATGTTGTGTGCAGTGTTGAACACTGAGGGAGGGAGTGTCCCAGCTCCCCCAAAAGCATGTTGTGTGCAGTGTTGAACACTGAGGGAGGGAGTGTCCCTCAGCCCAGAAGTGCAGGATTCTACTTGGTGCCCTCTGTCTGGCAGGTTATTAACATTCTTGTGAGCTGAGGAGAATCTCCAGGCTAAGGAAATTTTGGCTCCTGCTTTGAACAAACTCTACTCAATCATTGGCAGTGAGGCATGCTGGTGAAGGGACCGAGGAGACGGCTCAATGCAGAGCATACTTGCTGAGCAAGCATGAGTTTCACCCATAGCGCTTCCATAAAAGCTGGACACAAAGGAAAGCCCTTGGAATCCCAGTGCTGGAGAAGCAGGAAGATCGTTGGGGTTTGCTTGCCTGTGGTCTAGTCAAATCAGTAAGTCTGGGGTCTCTGTGAGAGTCCCTACTTCAAAAGAAGAGTGAAATAACTGAAGACCCCTGGGATCAGTGTATGGCCTCCACAGGCACCCGTGTGGTGTTGTACACAGAGATCTACTGACGATTAAAACTTCATTCACCATGGGCAGCTATTCTTTCCAGATACGTTAGAATAGATTATAGAGGCTGTCCCAATTACTGTGCACTGGAATTTTATTGAATCGAATTTGCTTTCAACAAATAGGTCATCAGCCTGACTTTGGCAATCTTTTTATTATCTGGAAGGTACTGGTCCCTAGGCCTTTGCTGACATACAATGGGCTCATATTTTGCTTAGATTTTCTATTCCTTAGTAGGTCATTTAGAATGTGGGCGATGTTTCTCAGTGAGTGGTTTTTCAAATGTACAGGGTTATTTATTTAACGTGAAGTTTTCTATAGCTACAGTGGCTCTTTCTAAGATTTAGTGTAGAACACTGGATTCACCTCTCTCGGGAACAGAAGCCTTTCCTGAGCAAACACACACACACACACACACACCTGTGAATCGGACCAGACACGGAGTGGAAAAGATATGCTTGTGTGGTGGAGGCCTGCGCCACGAGTATCACGTACAGACATCTGCAAGTTTGGCCAGGCTCCCTGAGATGGAGCTGTAGTGTTTACGGAACATACGGAGCCTGCGTTCATCATTCTGAGACATTCCTTCCAGAGCTACCAGTGGCAGCGACATGTGGGAGCCATGGCAGGCAGTTCCTAGAACCTGTGGAGATTGGCATCATTGGGCCCAAACCAAACGCTAGCTCCTTCTTTGTTTATGACAAGTGGGGTCCTTATAGTCATTAATGGAAGTTTATAACCCACTCGTGGTTCCATAAATACAGGTTACCCTGACAGCCTCATTATCAGAGATAAACACAGCACTTGATTTCCGAAGACACTTTATCGCAGATTTACATTTAATAACACACCCGCCATGGGGAGAGCAGGAAAGCCATAATTTCCCCGAAAGTGTACCCATGCAGTGAAGGCTGATATAGACAAAACTTGCTTGGGATTAGGGAATGATGTGCTCTTAAAACACAATAGAAGGAGCTGTAAAGTCTAGGCATGTGTGCTATGTATGATGTTTATATAATGCATATAGTGTATGCACAATGTACAGCCACCCCGCCTCAAGCACAAGATTCAGGAACTTAACTGAAATAGTCAGGACTGGCTGGTAGCCTGGACACTGAAACCAGGAATATAATGATTTTGTTTGTGCCTTCACCACATCCCAGCCTCTGACTCTGGGCAATGCTTAAACAATGTGCCCTCTGGAAACATTGGGCTTGATCCTAGATCCTACATTCAGAGAATCTGTTCCACCAGCTTGTGAAAGAGGTTGATGTTTGACCCAAGACAACCTACCCAAAAGCCCTCTCCTGGGAACTTGCCAAGCACTGTGCCCTGATAACCCTCCTCTTTCTCTCCCTCCCTGACACCTTGCTTCTTTCTCTCTAGTCTCTACTATTAACATATGCAAATGAGACATCATTATCATATGCAAATGGTCACTTGGCCTCAACATAAGCAAATGATCCATTCCATTGAGGTCAACTCATGCCAACAGTCCTCTCATATTAACATATGCAAACTGTTCCCTAGTTTTAACATGCAGGTTGTTCCCTTGAAGTAACATATGCAAATGAACCTGTACATTGACATAGGCAAATGATCTCCTAGAACTACCACATGCAACAGGCCTCAGGCATTAACATATGCAAATAACTACTGCGTCAATATG